CGCCCCCCCCCCCCCCCCCCCCCTTAATTAGAGTACTCTTACGAAATAAATCTAATGGAGAAAGGGTGAAACATGTAGTTCAGAGGATTAGAACATGTTGCTATGAACCATGATATTAGGATTCTAACCCTCGTCGCTCACAACTGGCCAAAAGAGAAGGGGGAAGGAAAATTATGATTGAGATATCAGACCGGAAGCTATGGAACTTGGATTGTAACTCGATTGGAATTCATGTCTAGAGCTAATTTCTGGCCTTCGTGATGGAATTTATTGCTATCGTCATTATGATTTTCTAAAAAAAAAAAACGAAAATAGAATCATAAAATTAATCTCGGCTGTCGGTGGAAGAGAATAAGGTAGTTGGTCAGCCCCTTACCTTCCGCGATTGCTTCACGCTAAATCCACCTGTCACTCGTAAAACTTGAGCATCTTCTTTCGGACAAACTCACCCCACCCTCCATTCTATATTGCCAATAATCACATTATTGTTAAATTGTCAAATTTGCCATTCTATTCTTCCTTTCCCATCTAACATAAAAAATGGTGAAAACTAAGTTACTTGATTTTGTTTTGATGGAGATTGTGATATATTATATGTTAATGTATAATTAATTAATTAGAGTCCAATAGTACATACAAGTTTGTACCATACAAAAATTCATATGACATGTTGGATAGAACTTAAAAAGTAGTTTTTTCGATAAGTATCTTTCAATAGTGAACCAACAACATACAATAACAATATTTCTATACATGGTTTAGTTACACCCTCATGTGAGTCAAAGTTTCTAAGTCATTTACTTTGTCTCTCTAAAATTGGAGTAATTAAGGTCAACTAAAAAGATATAAGGAGAGAACAACAAAAACAATCAACACCAACGGGAGGCTAAGCTTACAAGGCCGCGCACATGTAAATGCTCACTTTCTTGGAAAATATGTAGTCGATCTTATTATTTATTGACTTAATAAAATTTCAGCCTTATTTGACAATCATTATTTAGGTAGAATGAAATTTTAAATAATGATTTTTTGGAAAATGTATCGTTAAAAATTAGGAAACAATTTTGGATTTGCGTACAAAATATTTTATTACGTAAATATGTGATTGAAAATAAGTATATAAAAAAAAAAAGTTAAAATTGCTCAATGAATAAAAGGACATGCTAAAAAGCTTTTTTTGTAAATGAAGTAACATTATTAAAAAAATATATGAGGAGGAGTAAACTTCGAAGGGTATTTATGACATTTCACATTTTGTCTACCGAGGTCAAAGTGATCGTACTTCGACACCTCACCCCCGGACCCCACGTATTCTTCATTAATGTCATTTTCCCTTCTCTAAGTTGATAGAGATTCTTGATCTGACGCTCCACTCTACTCCGTTGCATTGCAGCCAACGAATTACAGTGTAAGTTCACAATCAGATCTCAAAAAGGGTGAGTCCAGTCTGAGTAAGTTGTACATTCACTTTCTTTCTTTTTCTCATTTTTGTTGAATTTAATAAGCCCATTCTTCTCACATTTTCCTTGTAGAGTTACTCGATAATTTGTAGTATTTACTTTTTGTCTAGTAGAAAAAGAATGGGCTCAAAAATGGCTGTTTTTGGGTGTTTGATGGTGGTCCTGGCTATGGCTGTTATTGCGAGTGTGGAGGAATCATCTACTCCGCCGTTGGTAGTGAAGAAGGTGAAGGGGAAGAAAATGTGCGATAAAGGATGGGAGTGTAAGGGGTTGTCGATTTACTGCTGTAACTTGACGATTACAGATTATTTCCAGACCTACCAATTTGAGGATCTTTTCGGTAAGAGGAATACACCAGTGGCTCATGCCGTTGGATTCTGGGATTTTCACTCTTTCATTACTGCTGCTGCGCTTTATCAACCGCATGGATTTGGGACCACCGGTGGAAGATTAATGCAAATGAAGGAGGTGGCTGCTTTCCTTGGCCATGTCGGCAGCAAAACTACCTGTAAGTATTCATCAATGATTGAGTTGTGAATTCAATGATTCTTTGTACTGGCTCTGTATATAAATTGGGTGATTTTCGATTTTGAGTTTAGTTGTAATTTTCGTGTTTGTTCTTGGAGGATGCATCTGATTTTTGGTTGTTAATAAAAGTAATCATAAAGTTAAAAATTTCTAATTACAGCATCCAGAACAGAGATTGGATGTTTTCGATGAACAATGCTATCTGTTTTTGAATCAGTTTGATCTACTCTCAAGATTTGTGAAAAGGGCAATTTACCTAAAACAAGCTTGGTAAAAATGCTTTGCGGATTACAGTTAAGTCAAAAGGTATGGTGTAGCAGCCTTCCCGAGCAAGCTTCTGGGATCTAGTGTAAAACCCCATGATGTGGTAAAGGGAGGATATTAGGGGAAGAAGCGAGTGGGGATTCCCCTGCAGAGTGGTGACATTTTGGGGTAAATGGAAACCTTACCCATCAAACCCCTTTGCCGTGGAGCCTCCTATTCTGCCACCACCCCAAGCGGCCTGCATATTCTTTTTCTTAAATTTCCAATCAGATTTCAGTAATTCAAAGAATGTGCTCACCACAGAAGGAGTTTGTATCAAATAAAAAACATTGACAGCCTCATGGTCCTGTTAGTCTATAAATTGTGGATATTTAATTTGCTCTTGCTTGTTCATACACTAATTTGTATATATAAATTACAATGTAGGCGGTTATGGGGTGGCAACTGGTGGACCGCTGGCCTGGGGTCTATGCTACAACAAGGAAATGAGTCCAAGCCAAGATTACTGTGATGACTACTATAAATACACCTACCCATGTGCTCCTGGAGCCCAATACTATGGTCGTGGTGCTTTGCCACTCTACTGGTACTTAGTATACTTTTTCTTCCATTTTTAACCAAGTTCTCCTGTGCTTTTTGACGACCTTGAATTTAATGTTTTCTTGTCAGTGTCCCTGGAGAATATGAATGGAGATTGTGCAAAGTCTATTTTAGGTTTATTGAATGATATTCTCTTTTATGTAGATTAAATGAAACAACTTCGTTTGATCTTCACCCATGTGCTCCTGGAGCCCAATACTATGGTCGTGGTGCTTTGCCACTCTACTGGTACTTAGTATACTTTTTCTTCCATTTTTAACCAAGTTCTCCTGTGCTTTTTGACGACCTTGAATTTAATGTTTTCTTGTCAGTGTCCCTGGAGAATATGAATGGAGATTGTGCAAAGTCTATTTTAGGTTTATTGAATGATATTCTCTTTTATGTAGATTAAATGAAACAACTTCGTTTGATCTTCTTCATCTGCACTCCTTTCTGACTTGAATCTTCTTTATCTTCATTTCTTGGTATATGCAAGGTTATGGATTCCTGTTTTTTCGTCTTCTATTATTTTGGTCGTGAAGTTGCAAATTATTATTTTCTGGTTTTATAGGAACTACAATTATGGAGCCACAGGAGAAGCCCTCAAGGTCGATTTGTTGAACCATCCCGAATACATTGAACAAAATGCCACCCTCGCTTTCCAGGCTGCAATGTGGAGGTGGATGACACCGATAAAGAAGGGACAACCTTCGTCTCACGATGCCTTTGTTGGCAACTGGAAACCCACCAAAAACGACACCTTGGCCAAACGGCATCCTGGTTTTGGCACCACAATGAATATTTTGTATGGCGACAATGTTTGCGGTCAAGGTGATGTCGACTCCATGAACAACATCGTATCACATTACCAGTATTACCTTGACTTGATGGGTGTCGGCCGAGAGGAGGCAGGACCCCATGAAGTACTGACCTGTGCCGAACAGGCTCCTTTCAACCCGTCTGCTCCAAAATCATCGACATCTTCTTGAAGTGTTACAGGGGCATTCTGCAGTGTTATGGCAATCTTCATAGAACACCATGGAATAAGGAGCAATATTTGCCATGGATTGTTTCCCCTGTGATTTTGTGTTTATCAGACAGAATGACAATCATAATATGTTGATTGCTTTTGTCTTAATATGCTGTCTCTTTTATAGGTTTTTTGAATCAAAAATGTTTTATAATTTGTGTATTTTGTAAGAGTGAGATTTGCAATATTGTATTGTACTTTTCAATTTCCATACCATCAAAGAATTAAAACTTCCAGTTATATGGGCTTAAAATATTCCTTTTTTACCTTTACATAATAATTTCTTGAACTTTCTTTAACTTCAAGAATCTTATTTTCAACGATGAATCCTTTTTCAAGACAACTTGAGTTTCATAAAAGCATTCCAATTTGATAAAATACTAACCAGTTGCAGTGCCTGAGAACACCCAATCCATATAACAAGTTCTTTATGTTAATTGAGTACGTTTCTCCAATCTATTGACTTGCAATAAAACTCATAGCTTCTCATAATATGGTCATGATTTATTGAAATATTTTCACACACCATTTTTCATTATAGACCAAATATTTTGGTTTACCCCAATGGAGACAAATAGACTACGATTGGATTGAGCGAAGTTCAAAAATAATATAGCCATATACAATAATTCATTGAATTGAAAACATATTTAAGCACGTGAATTAGGAACACTTCAATGCCATATTACAACATGTCAACAACCACTGAGAATAATCATGGCAACCGAATTGAGTTCTACGTCTCACCTTAGGGGGAAAAATTTTTGATAAAAGAATTTCGTGGTCTACCCCAATGGGGACCAATAGACTAGGATCGGATTGAGAAAAGTTCAAAAATAATATAACCATATATAATAATTCATTGAATTAGATACACATTAAAGCACGTGAATTAGGAACACTTCAATGCCATATTGCAACATTCCAACAGACTCAAAACAAACCACAAAGAATAATCATGGCAGCCGAATTGAATTCTACATGTCTCAACTTAGGGAAAAAAATTGAAAAAAAATAATTTTGTGGTCCGACTATTAAATTTCACGAATAAATTGATCCAAACTGAGCAAAACATGCAGCAATGCAAACATTACGAGCACACTAAACCTCCGGAGCAGGGGCGGTCGACTTCAAGAGAGGCTGTAGGGCCTTGACAACAATGCTCATATTTGGTCGAAACTCGGCTTCATACTGCACGCATAATGCTGCAACAGCAGCCAACTGCAATCACCAAAGAAGTACAATTAGTATTCATTCTTTCATCATTCTGTCTGCATGTGGGATGGGATAGGGGTGAGCACGCACCTTTGCAACTCCTTTTGGTGGGTATTCTCCCTTAAGCTTTGGATCTACACATTGTTTAACTTTGTCCTCACTCAATCTCGGAGTGGCCTAATATGAAGATACATTATCACGATATAGGACAACTAGAAGAAATGTACAAAATGGAATTTAGGGGAAAAAGAAGACGACGACAAATCCGATTTCGAAAGAAGAGAAACTTGAGAAAACAGGCAAAGTAGTTGCTCACCCAAGTAACAAGACTCTGTTGTCCACGAGGCATAGTATGATCAACGGGCTTCCTTCCTGTCAAAAGCTCTAGCAGAACAACACCAAAGCTATACACGTCACTCTTCTGTGTCAACTGCCCCGTCATTGCATATCTGTGAATAATAGAAATTCTAAGAAAATGAAGAAATTCACAGAATCGAACGTGTTGCTATACATCTATTATCTCTAAATTATATTCTACTGCTATATAAAGAGAGAGATGAAATTGTATGCATACGATCTAATGTTACCTTAAAGAGAGAAACTAGGCAATTCTTGGGAGGGCACACATGGTTGAGAACAAGTTCGACGTAGTACACATCCTATGGTACTGCTTGTTCAACAGAACATTGTTTCTAAATACTTTATACTCGTACAATTAGTTAGTATTTATCATAGAACTCTTCGGCCACTACATACCCTAATTTATTAGTGTTGGATGTGGTTCTTGCAGGAGAAAAAAGTGTACAGTTTCCAATTCAAAATAAATGTTCAATAGCATGTCAATCTATTAATCCTTTTTAGAGTTTTATGACAATGGTAATAAAATGTGATCCTTTGGTTCAGCGGTACTTGTATTTAGCAAAATCTAAGGACCCGTTAGCTTATAACATAATTACCAAGAAGCAAGAACATAGAGTGACACGGGCCTTGAGAATAAATCAACTAATGTATATAACGGAATCATCCAACAGAAGGAAGAGATACGAAGCATTACTCTGGTGCATGATAACCAAATGTCCCAAGAACTCGAGTAGAATGAAGGCGAGCAGCCATGTCAGGAGCCTGATTTGATAGATTAAAATCTGCAATTTTGGCTTTATAGTCTTCAAACAGAAGCACATTGCTGGATCTTATATCTCTGTGTATTATAGAAGGCTGAACCTTCTCGTGCAAATATTCCAGTCCCCTTGCAGCATCAACAGCAATTCTTACACGTTGCATCCAATCAAGTACAGGACCGGGTTGTGCCCCTTGAACTCCTTTCCTTCCTATTATTGAAATACAATTAGATAACCTCTTTTTAGTGCCTACAATTTGCCAGGAAGCCAATTAGAAGACTACATACCATGTAAAATATCATGTAGAGATCCCATGGTTGCAAACTCATATGCTAAGACACGAAGATTGCCGTCTACACAATAACCAAGCAACTCAACAAGATTTTCATTCTTCAGCCTTGACACCATTGAGACCTTAATAAAAAAACAAAATGTTACATATTTACATATCCATGCACAACATGTAAAATAAAAATGAGAGATGCAATTCAAGAGACAAATATTTGAAACAACAAAAAGTTGTGCATATACCTGAGTTAAGAACTCAACATTTGAATCAGGCTCAGATGACACATCAAGTTTCTTAACAGCCACCTCTTTTCCATTACCTAACTGAGCAAAGTACACTCTTCCATAAGATCCTTCGCCAATTAATGCACTGGATCCAAAATTATCAGTTTTTTCTTTCAGTTCCTCAAGAGACAATGCAGGCACTTCAATAGGAGGTACTGCCTTCTGAACTTCAGGTTTCACAGGGGCTGAAGCCTTAGAACCTCTTTGATGCCCTAGTTTCGAAACCAATATATAAATAAGGTGAACAAAATAAAAAATAAAATTTCTTATGAACCTCCATGTCAAGTTTTTGCCAGTGACTCTTAATAGGCTACTTTATGAAACTATAAATCATTGGAACCACAATTAATTGCATATCATTGATGTAATATGAAGCCCAAATAAGCATGCATTTCTAGTTCTTCCTTTATTTCTTTTCTCCATGTGGTCAAGAGAAGTACAGTATGCAAAAAAAGCACCAAATGGTATGTAACCCATACTCAAATGGTATACCATTGATGCAACTTGGAAAGTCTATTCGAGACATAAAAAAAATTTAACATCGATTATGATATAATTTTCCATTATCGCATTTGATTCATTTTTGGTTAAATTGATTTTTGTAAAAGGAAAAGTCCAATTTTCTTTGGTAGTCGTAATTTCCTCTATTAGTCGTGTTTTTAGCCTGTATAAAGAGGTCCATTAATTGTAATAAGACACACTCGAATATTGAATAAAAGTTACAATCTTTCCCTCATTTCTCTCTTCCTACTCTATTCTCCTTCTCTATTATTATTGTTCATATCGGCATCAACCATTCTTTCTATTTCATCAGAGCTCACAAAATTTCATTCAGAATACTATGGCACCAAATAACAATAACAAGTGGCACCACTTGAATTCCACAACATCTATCCACTTCAATAACCTCTCTGACTTTGCACAAATGTCAATGATGATACAAGCCTAATCAAGATGCTTGATGCATTTCTTATTTTAGATCAAACTCGTGTCATCCTTGAACTTTATCAGAGGAAGGACAGACCAAACACAGCTACAGAAGATACTTCAGCATTTGAAAGAGATGATTTGTGCCAAAAGGTAGGAAACTCAAAAGCATATTTCCCTCCACCAAAAAAAGTAAAATCGAAAAATCCATTATATAATGACACGAAATAATTTGTCCCATGGGTCTAAAAAGAATAATATAATGACACTAATGATAAAATGAACAAGATTGAAACAGTAAATAAACTAACATAACCTAAGTTTTATTGGCACCTATATAAGCCAGAAAACAACAAGAACATACCATCAGCATGATTTCTTGGTGCCACTACACCATGTCGATTGAAATAATCATCGTCCATCACAACAATAAAATTAATTTAAAATAATAAAAATGATCCCTGAAAAAAATGAACATATGATAAGGGAAAAAAAATAAAAATTACACATAAAAGTAAAGATCCAAGAAACAGACTCCGTAAATTTCATTAAAAGAATAACTTAAATACCCTTGAAGCTGAAGTTTTGATCAAAACATGATTTGAAAAAGAGAGATCCAAGAAATAGGCAAAGTAATACGAAGAGAGAGAGAAACAATAAAGCGGTCAAATTCAACTAATGAAGAAGCTAAAATCTAAAAACAACAACCAAGGAGAAGAACCCAAAAACCGAAATTCATGGGTTTCGTTTATTTTTCCTTTACCTCTTTATTCCTTTCCTTTTTTCAACTCAATCAATTAAATTACTGTTTAATCAAATCAAACACACGTGCAAATGGGATATGGGTTATAAAGAAAACTGAGAATTTCTCGATGTTTTCTTCAGCAAGAAGAATTGGCGAAGAAATGGATCGGCAAAATGTATATTTTTTCTCCCTTCCCTTGGACAAAAGAGGAAAGTTATTGAAGGGAGAGAACAAAATGTTCAGATCGTCGAAAACTGTTTTATAAATATCCATCTTTATTTGCATTTCCAAGTAGGTTAATTATTTCATTGGTGACTTAATAAAGCACGTTACTGTTTAATAACTAAATCTTGCCACGAATTTTGTTGATACTTGATTGTGTTACCCATTCATCACCACTATGAATCTAACGGATATTTGTCATGGAACAAATGTAAGTTAAATATCACCACATCATCGATATCCTTATTTAGCCATCATTTTCCCTTTTTATTTTGCCGACGTTAGAATATATAGCATTACATTTGTGCCATGACAAATACCTACCATCATATGGTAATTTTGTTAAGGGAGAAGTTACATGCTAAAAATGGATAGGTAACACAATCTAATGTTCAGCGATCAACATGATACTCTTTAGACTTTATATATCAAATGGGGTGTCCTCAATTGAAATTGTAATTGATTTTATTAAATTTAGATATCTTCAATTGAGAATCTAAGATTTTATTGAATTTTAATAAAATTTATTGAAATTCAAGTGTCTTCAATTGAGATTTTAATGAAATCTTTTAAAATTTTGGTATCCTCAATAATTAGTGGATTTATAAATATTTCATTAATAGAAGGATTTTAAAATATCTTGATGAATTTCAAGCTTAAAAATACATATAAGCAAATCTTTTGAAAAATTCACCGTATTTGATGATATTCTTTTGAAATTTGTAAAAATCTATTCAAATCCATAAAATTCACTAAAATTTTAATTGAGAACACCCCTATAAGTAGTAAAGTGGAATATAAGTCAATCATCAGCGAAGTAATTAATCGTTTTCGAGTATTTTCAAATTATTTGAATCTATTCCAGCGTCAACCAATTTTTTGAACCTTTATTTATAGAATACTTATAGAGCTCAATCACTCAACTCAAGAAATTTTAACTCTTCTCGATATTTTTTTATCCTAAATTTAAAGTTCCAAAAGGGATATTAATTGACAAGTTATTAGTAGATATTAACCGCGATCTCTTAATCAGAAGCCAATATGGTAATGAATCACGTAATAATATAATTATAAGTCAAATCAATTTATGTGACTAGAAAATCTGTAAAATGGCAATATTTGAGGATAAATTTTTTTGACTATTTTTATAATTATTTATAAATAGAAAGACAAATTCATCTTTTAATGGACAAAATAGAGGGAATGATTTGTTACATAATTGAAATGTCGTGGATGGATTATGCTAAATCTTGCAAAAGTTAGAGATAAAATGTGCAAATTTTCTTATTTTTAATGTTGTTTACCAGTTATCGGACTTGGGAGTTCTTTAAATAATCGTGATAACAACATTATTGATATTATAATTTTTTCAAATGATTCGATGTGATAGATGGAATAGAACATCACAAGTACAATACTAGGAAATAACTTTTGAAAGCGCAGTGACTATTTAGAAATATTTTTAAGTACAATACTCATTAATAAGTATTTAAGTTGAGATGGTTATCATCCAAACAAGACCTAACATAATTTAAATTGACAAATCTATTATAAAGGTTGAACCCCAACCTTGAAGGCCCCCACCGTCCTGTCCTTAGAACTTTGTGAGGGAGGTAAATCATGAAATGTGCCCAAACAGGTTAGGGAACAAGAGCTGCATGTACACTGCGCTTACAAAGAATCCAATTTCATGTTTCAGGAATCGAACCCCCACACTGCGATTGCCAGCAAAGCGTGAGATAACCTCACTCCTGTCCTTTGTACCACTAGGCTATGCTCCGGGGGGCTGACAAATCTATTATATTACCACTACAAATAGATAAAGGATAATTATATTATCACTACAAATTTTATTAAGTACACTGTATTTTTTAATATTTTTCTTATTTACATAAATAGTTTTAAGTAAAATTACGTAATTAGGGTTTTAAGTAAAAATCTATTTTTTTCCTCTTTTTTTTTCAACATCTATTTTTACTAAATGATGTCTAACAAATGTTTTAAACACTGGACATCCTTCACATTAATTTGGGGGTATTTTGTAGAATAAAGAAACGGTGAAAGCAAAGGGATCTGCTTAAAAATGATTATTAACCCCAAGCCTGTCTTAAATTCATGAATGAATCTTTATTTTGTTGTTTTCTTCTCTTAATTTCTGTTCATGTCAGATTCAATCCAAAATACATTTCAAATTCAATCGGCAACCAAAGATCACAATTCACACTCAATCATCAACCAAAAGTTACTATTCAGTTGATAGAAGTATATTAATTTTTCATTCCCAATCAAGAAATTTATAGCAAAAGTTAACTGCAGTAATTTTGCATCCCAGATCTTAGATGGAATAGGAACAAAAAGTAAATTAAATTGCAATTGAAATATAAATAAAAACCCAAAAAAATCAACGGACCTACTGAATCAAACGATCTAATTAAATATGACAGAAAGGGTTAAGAAAAATGATAAGTAATACACTTATGACTAAGCACCAGTGCTTAGCATAAGCACCGATACTTTGCGTATGCTAAGCACCATGTGACGTGTGCTTAGCATAAGCACCGGTGCTTAGCATAAGCACCGATACTTTGCGTATGCTAAGCACCATGTGACGTGACACATTACAATAGGTGGTGAAGGATAATGGGTAGTTTTAAAACTAATTACACCACCTATTGTAGCGTGCCACCTAAGCATGATGCTTAATATAAACTAAGCATAGGTGCTTAGGAGATCAAATCCGATGAGCAATATTTGGAGGATAAATAAACCACAATAATGTTTTTTGTTCATCATTTTTGTTTATATTGTATTATGAGTATAATTATAAATTTGTTATGAATTATTTATTGACAATATATTTTAATTGTGATATGATTATAATTTGGTGTAATAATTAAATTTTGTGGTGGTAATAACCATAGATAAATCTGTAGCCGTTAAAACTCATAAATAATCCATTCCTCATCTCTCTCTCCTCCGAAGCTTTTCACTTCGACGATGGCGTCTTCAATTTACAGGCACCTACCAATCTCATCCCAATATCTGCCGCCACCCTCTATTCTGCTTCAAACCCACTTTGCTTAAGGCCAGAAATGCTTATATACCCATAGCCTACAGCTTGATTAGCAGGCGACCGTAGTATATTATTTTATAGTGGAAATTACACTAGATGTCATTTTTTGGATTTACATTTACAAATATATCACATTTTAATAGTTTTGACCAAACTATCATCTTATGACTTTTATGGCCTCTCAAAAAAATTGAAATGCCTTGAATGTCATTAATTAAAATTGATTTGACTAGATAAAAGAACAGTACAAAAAGTTAATTTGCATCACATCAAAAGTTCCCATCTCACTCCTTACAAGAAAAAAAAACCAAAAAAAAAAAAAAAACAAAAATGAAAACAAAAAAGGTAAAAATATTCATTCACATAGCAACTAAAGTCCTAAACCTTAACGACTCTCAATTTCCTCTCTCATTCTCTCTCGCTCAAGGTTGTCGGTGTTGGGACCTATTGACCAATAATGTAGGAATTGAGATTTAATGAATTTCACTTGCTGTAATTGAAGTATTAAACAAGATCACAAATAACCCAAGAACAAGATTAAAGTAAGTAAAAGAAGAACTGGCAGAAGGAACGATGTTTTATTAATTCACTATGAAAGGAGAGCACAATACAGCAAAAGGCTTCTTAATAAAACTGACAGAGAGGCCTTGTATTTATAGTATAAAATCTAGCCCTAAAAGAGTCCCAAAAAAGGTAAGAAATCTAATGCAATTTAGATTCCTATTTGAGTCACACTTCTAACAATTTCCACCTTGACTCAAATTCCAGTGCAACGAACGAAGCTCCAAAATTTCTTCACCTTGAGAAATAATCTGTCTGCATTAGAATGAACTGACTAATCTCTTCAACGCAATAACCAAACTCTCCACGATAACACGTTCCCCCCGCCCGACGTCCACAAGCGACACCCAAACCCAAACTCGGGTTCCCAAAATTCCTCTTGGAATTAACAATCATTGGATAGGGTTGAAGCACACCCTGTAGCAGAAACCACACCAAATGCACAATCAGAAAGTCCTTTGCCAATATTGTCACCTTCAATGATTTCTAAAGCATTACAGACATCTACAAAACTATACCTACGCTCCATGAGTCCATTGGCATTACAAGAACACAGTGCAACCGCTAAAATTGGTGGCAAAGCGGAATCACCAACACTCCCTTGAG